ATCATCGACTGCAGACTGAGGCAGCTGCTGCTGGTGGAGCTGCCACTGCTCCTACCACCCCACCCCTCCCCTGCTGCCATGGCAGCGGAACGCGAGCGCACAGGGCCCACAGTGTCTGAGGATGGACGTTGGCGCAGACAGGCAGAGACCAGCTGACTACATAGGTGGTTTTTATAGTACGTTATTTTGGCCTCCCTCTCAGCAGTGTGAAAAAGGCCACCATTTTTGAACGGTAGCGAGGGTCCAACAAGGTGGACAGCCAAAAGTCATCCCTCTGTCTGATGGTTATTATTCGGCTGTCGCTACGCAAGCAAGCGAGCATGCTATGGGCCATTTGTGCCAAGGAATGCGAGGGACTCCCTGCCTCCATCTCCACAGCATACTGCCACGGTGCGTCTGGGTCCTCCGTCTCCTCTTCCTCCTCCTCTCTACCAGATGCTCCTGCTCCTCCACTCCGGTCCGCTGAGTGGAAAAACCACCCATTTCACTCAATAATTCCTGAGCACCAATGTCCTCCTCTACCTCCTCCTCTTCTTCCTGTCCTGCCCCCACAGGGGTCATGTGGCGTTGAGATCTGTGCGCCACGTCTACCGCACCCTGACCAGCCATTGTTAACAGCATTTGTTCCAGGACGTGCAACAGAGGAATGACGTCGTTCATCCCATAGTCCTGCCGACTCACGAATAGCGTGGCCTCCTCAAAGGGCCTGAGCAAGCGCAGGTGTCACGCATGAGCTGCCAATGGCTGACATCTAAGTTACACAGAGAGTACCTTTATCCGCTTTTAACATCAGGAAATCTGTGATGGCCTTTTGTGTTCGTAAAGGCGGTCTAACATATGTAGGGTTGAATTCCACCTTGTTGCAACGTCACAGCATGAGGAGTCGGTAAGGGGGCCTATGGCAGATTACGGGCCTGGCAGCAGCAATGGGAGGCCCGTAATCTGCCAGCACCCTATGTCAAAAAATTCAACACACCAGCAGTGTGAAGAGACCTGAAAGTGGCACATGGCAGAGTGTGGCGATGGAGACAGCAGCAATGGGAGGCCGTACAGGGACCCGTGACAGACTCTGGACTTGGCAGCAGCATGAGGAGGCGGTATATAGGGGCCTATGGCAGATTAGGGGCCTGGCAGCAGCTATAGGAGGCCCGTAATCTGCCAGCACCCTATGTCAAAAAATTCAACACACCAGCAGTGTGAGGAGACCTGAAAGTGGCACATGGCAGAGTGTGGCGATGGAGACAGCAGCAATGGGAGGCCGTACAGGGACCCATGAGAGACTCTGGATCTGGCAGCAGCATGAGGAGGCGGTATATAGGGGCCTATGGCAGATTAGGGGCCTGGCAGCAGCTATAGGAGGCCCGTAATCTGCCAGCACCCCTATGACAAAATGGAACCCACCAGCAGTGTGAGGAGACCTGAAAGTGGCACATGGCAGAGTGTGGCGATGGAGACAGCAGCAATGGGAGGCCGGTACAGGGACCCATGAGAGACTCTAGACTTGGCAGCAGCATGAGGAGGCGGGTATATAGGGGCCCATGGCAGATTAGGGGCCTGCAGCAGCTATGGGAGGCCCGTAATCTGCCAGCACCCTATGTCAAAAAAAACTGAACACACCAGCAGTGTGTGAGGAGACCTGAAAGTGGCACATGGCAGAGTGTGGCGATGGAGACAGCAGCAATGGGAGGCCGTACAGGGACCCATGACAGACTCTGGACCTGGCAGCAGCATGAGGAGGCGGTAAATAGGGGCCTATGGCAGATTAGGGGCCTGGCAGCAGCTATAGGGAGGCCCGTAATCTGCCAGCACCCTATGACAAAATGGAACCCACCAGCAGTGTGAGGAGACCTGAAAGTGGCACATGGCAGAGTGTGGCGATGGAGACAGCAGCAATGGGAGGCCGTACAGGGACCCATGACAGACTCTGGACCTGGCAGCAGCATGAGGAGGCGGTATATAGGGGCCTATGGCAGATTAGGGGCCTGGCAGCAGCTATAGGAGGCCCGTAATCTGCCAGCACCCTATGTCAAAAAATTCAACACACCAGCAGCAGTGTGAGGAGACCTGAAAGTGGCACATGGCAGACTGTGGCGATGGAGACAGCAGCAATGGGAGGCCGTACAGGGACCCATGAGAGACTCTGGACTTGGCAGCAGTATGAGGAGGCGGTATATAGGGGCCTATGGCAGATTAGGGGCCTGGCAGCAGCTATGGGAGGCCCGTAATCTGCCAGCACCCTATGTCAAAAAACTGAACACACCAGCAGTGTGTGAGGAGACCTGAAAGTGGCACATGGCAGAGTGTGGCGATGGAGACAGCAGCAATGGGAGGCCGTACAGGGACCCATGACAGACTCTGGACCTGGCAGCAGCATGAGGAGGCGGTATATAGGGGCCTATGGCAGATTAGGGGCCTGGCAGCAGCTATAGGAGGCCCGTAATCTGCCAGCACCCTATGACAAAAAATGGAACCCACCAGCAGTGTGAGGAGACCTGAAAGTGGCACATGGCAGAGTGTGGCGATGGAGACAGCAGCAATGGGAGGCCGTACAGGGACCCATGACAACTCTGGACCTGGCAGCAGCATGAGGAGGCGGTATATAGGGGCCTATGGCTGATTAGGGGCCTGGCAGCAGCTATAGGAGGCCCGTAATCTGCCAGCACCCTATGACAAAATGGAACCCACCAGCAGTGTGAGGAGACCTGAAAGTGGCACATGGCAGAGTGTGGCGATGGAGACAGCAGCAATGGGAGGCCGTACAGGGACCCATGACAGACTCTGGACTTGGCAGCAGCATGTGGAGGCGGTATATAGGGGCCTATGGCAGATTAGGGGCCTGGCAGCAGCTATGGGAGGCCCGTAATCTGCCAGCACCCTATGTCAAAAAACTCAACACACCAGCAGTGTGAGGAGGAGACCTGAAAGTGGCACATGGCAGAGTGTGGCGATGGAGACAGCAGCAATGGGAGGCCGTACAGGGACCCCATGACAGACTCTGGACCTGGCAGCAGCATGAGGAGGCGGTATATAGGGGGCCTATGGCAGATTAGGGGCCTGGCAGCAGCTATAGGAGGCCCGTAATCTGCCAGCACCCTATGACAAAATTCAACCCACCAGCATGTGTGAGGAGACCTGAAAGTGGCACATGGCAGAGTGTGGCGATGGAGACAGCAGCAATGGGAGGCCGTACAGGGACCCATGACAGACTCTGGACCTGGCAGCAGCATGAGGAGGCGGTATATAGGGGCCTATGGCAGATTAGGGGCCTGGCAGCAGCTATAGGAGGCCATAATCTGCCAGCACCCTATGTCAAAAAATTCAACACACCAGCAGTGTGTGAGGAGACCTGAAAGTGGCACATGGCAGAGTGTGGCGATGGAGACAGCAGCAATGGGAGGCCGTACAGGGACCCATGAGAGACTCTGGACTTGGCAGCAGCATGAGGAGGCGGTATATAGGGGCCCTATGGCAGATTAGGGGCCTGGCAGCAGCTATATGGAGGCCCGTAATCTGCAGCACCCTATGTCAAAAAACTGAACACACCAGCAGTGTGTGAGGAGACCTGAAAGTGGCACATGGCAGAGTGTGGCGATGGAGACAGCAGCAATGGGAGGCCGTACAGGGACCCATGAGAGACTCTGGACTTGGCAGCAGCATGAGGAGGCGGTATATAGGGGCCTATGGCAGATTAGGGGCCTGGCAGCAGCTATGGGAGGCCCGTAATCTGCCAGCACCCTATGTCAAAAAACTGAACACACCAGCAGTGTGTGAGGAGACCTGAAAGTGGCACATGGCAGAGTGTGGCGATGGAGACAGCAGCAATGGGAGGCCCTACAGGGACCCATGACAGACTCTGGACTGGCAGCAGCATGAGGAGGCGGTATATAGGGGCCTATGGCAGATTAGGGGCCTGGCAGCAGCTATGGGAGGCCCGTAATCTGCCAGCACCCTATGTCAAAAAATTGAAACACACCAGCAGTGTGGTGTGAGGAGACCTGAAAGTGGCACATGGCAGAGTGTGGCGATGGAGACAGCAGCAATGGGAGGCCGTACAGGGACCCATGAGAGACTCTGGACTTGGCAGCAGCATGAGGAGGCGGTATAGGGGCCCATGGCAGATTAGGGGCCTAGCAGCAGCTATGGGAGGCCCGTAATCTGCCAGCACCTATAGTCAAAAAAATTCAACCACCAGCAGTGTGTGAGGAGACCTGAAAGTGGCACATGGCAGAGTGTGGCGATGGAGACAACCCACCGACTGTTTTGCTCCTGCCAAGCTGCCACCCTCTTCTCCTGATGATGCGGAAGCAATAGCCTGATGACGACGAGGCTGCCAAGTGCGATCAGCCCGGTTCATCTCATCAATTAGGGTCCCGCCTCACTACTAACAACCTCGGCTGCGTGTGGGTCAGGAGACAGACCTGTCAACTACACCGGCTACGAGCCCTCTCCTCGCCACTACTTCTTCGCCTGGCTGCTGAAAGAGGCGGATTCTCCCCCCGTTCCTGACGCCCTCTGTTAGCTCTTCCTCACTGTACTGGATGACACCGGGAGCACTAGCCTCTGGCTGCGAATAGTGCTGCCTCGACCCCTTCCTCTGCTGCCATTCTGTCAGCTCGCTAGTCCCTAAAACAATTGAACACCTCCTCTGCCACTCCTCTGCATGTTGTCCCTCAGACATACTCTTTAATTAACATGATCTGTGTCCCTGAGTAACAATTCTGTGTCCCCTGAGTAACGTTTCTGTGGCCCTAAGTAACAGTTCTGTGGCCCTAAGTAACAGTTCTGTGGCCCTCAGTAACAATTCTGTGTCTGTCCCTGAGTAACAATTCTGTGTCCCTCAGTAACAATGTGTCCCTGAGTAACAATTCTGTCCCTCAGTAACAATTCTGTGGCCCTCAGTAACAATTCTGTGGCCCTGAGTAACAATTCTGTGTCTGCCCTGAGTAACAATTCTGTGTCTGTCCCTGAGTAACAATTTTCTGTGGCCCTAAGTAAAAGGTTCTGTGGTCCCTGAGTAACAATTCTGTGTCCCTGAGTAACAATTCTGTGTGTCCCTGAGTAACAATTCTGTGGCCCTAATAACGTTTCTGTGGCCCTAAGTAACAACGTTTCTGTGGCCCCGCAGTAACAATTCTGTGTCCCTCAGTAACAATTCTGTGTCTGTCCCTGAGTAACAATTCTGTGTCTGTCCCTGAGTAACGTTTCTGTGGCCCTAAGTAACGGTTCTGTGGCCCTCAGTAACAATTCTGTGTCCCTGAGTAACAATTCTGTGTCTGTCCCTGAGTAACAATTCTGTGTCCCTGAGTAACAATTCTGTGTCCCTGAGTAACAATTCTGTGGCCCTCAGTAACAATTCTGTGCCACTCCCTCAGTAACAATTCTGTGTCTGTCCCTAAGTAACAATTCTGTGTCCCTGAGTAACAATTCTGTGTCCCTGAGTAACAATTCTGTGCCCTAAGTAACGGTTCTGTGGCCCTTCAATTGTGGCCCTCAGTAACAATTCTGTGTCTGTCCCTGAGTAACAATTCTTCTGTTCTGTGGTAGTTAACATTCTGTGGCCCTGAGTAACAATTCTGTGTCCCTCAGTAACAATTCTGTGGCCCTCAGTAACAATTCTGTGGCCCTCAGTAACAATTCTGTGTCCCCTGAGTAACAATTCTGTGTCTGTCCCTGAGTAACAATTCTGTGGCCCTAAGTAACAATTCTGTGGCCCTAAGTAAAACACGGTTCTGTGGCCCTTCCCTGAGTAACAATTCTGTGCCCTAAGTAACGGTTCTGTGGCCCTCAGTAACAATTCTGTGTCCCTGAGTAACGTTTCTGTGGCCCTAAGTAACGGTTCTGTGGCCCTCAGTAACCTGTGTCCCTGAGTAACAATTCTGTGTCTGTCCCTGAGTAACAATTCTGTGGCCCTAAGTAACGGTTCTGTGGCCCTCAGTAAACAATTCTGTGTCCCTCAGTAACAATTCTGTCTGTCCCTGAGTAACAATGTGGCCCTGTAACAATTCTGCCCTAAGTAACAATTCTGTGTCCTGTGGCCCTAAGTAAACAATTCTGTGGTCCCTCAGTAACAATTCTGTGTCCCTGAGTAAGATTAACGTTTCTGTGGCCCTAAGTAACGGTTCTGTGGCCCTCAGTAACAATTCTGTGTCCCTCAGTAACAATTCTGTGTCTGTCCCTGAGTAACAATTCTGTGGCCCTAAGTAACGGTTCTGTGGCCCTCAGTAACAATTCTGTGTCCCTGAGTAACGTTTCTGTGGCCCTAAGTAACTAAGTTCTGTGGCCCTCAGTAACAATTCTGTGTCCCTGAGTAACAATTCTGTGTCTGTCCCTGAGTAACAATTCTGTGGCCCTAAGTAACGTTTCTGTGGCCCTAAGTAACAGTTCTGTGGCCCTCAGTAACAATTCTGTGTCCCTGAGTAACGTTTCTGTGGCCCTAAGTAACAATTCTGTGGCCCTCAGTAACAATTCTGTGTCCCCTGAGTAACAATTCTGTGGCCCTAAGTAACGTTTCTGTGGCCCTAAGTAACAATTCTGTGGCCCTCAGTAACAATTCTGTGTCTGTCCCTGAGTAACAATTCTGTGGCCCTAACTAACGTTTCTGTGGCCCTAAGTAACAATTCTGTGGCCCTCAGTAACAATTCTGTCTGTCCCTGAGTAACAATTCTGTGGCCCTAACTAACGTTTCTGTGGCCCTAAGTAACAGTTCTGTGGCCCTCAGTAACAATTCTGTGTCTGTCCCTGAGTAACAATTCTGTGGCCCTAACTAACGTTTCTGTGGCCCTAAGTAACAATTCTCTGGCACTCAGTAACAATTCTGTCTGTCCCTGAGTAACAATTCTGTGGCCCTAATAACGTTTCTGTGGCCCTAAGTAACAGTTCTGTGGCCCTCAGTAACAATTCTGTGTCTGTCCCTGAGTAACAATTCTGTGGCCCTAACTAACGTTTCTGTGGCCCTAAGTAACAATTCTCTGGCACTCAGTAACAATTCTGTCTGTCCCTGAGTAACAATTCTGTGGCCCTAACTAGCGTTTCTTTGGGCCTAAGTAACGATTCTGTGGCCCTCATTAACAATTCTGTGTCCCTGAGTAATGCTTCTCTGTCCCTAAGTAACGTTTCTCTGTCCCCAAGTAACGTTTCTGTGGCCCTAACTCTGTCCCTAATACAGAGCGGTCTGCCTCTCTTGAATGACTGGAGGCAAATGAAGAATTCTAAAATGGCCGCTATTTATAGCTCGACCATTACACAGTGCTGGCTGCCTGGCTGCTGATTGGCTAATGCGATCACATGTCATTAAGGAATGCATTATGGGTCAGCGCGCCTTGTCTGCGCGCCTTCCCAGACATCCCCTCTCCGTCGCCGCACATGTCCGCCGCCATTTTAGGAAAAATTTCGATTCGCGCGTCCGAAGTAGGCTATTTTTCGGATTCGGCGCGAATCGAAAATTTTCCAATATTCGACTCGAATTCCACTTCGCCTACTTCGATTCGCTCATCTCTACTCATGTGTACATGAGCCCCTACCAGTTTTTAGATTGATCCTGGTGGTAGGTTCATTTTTAAGAGATGTTGTTATCTTCAGGGCAGAATAAAAGTGTCTGTGGAAAGCTCACGTTATTTTCACCTCTCCAGTAAGCCTTTCTTCTTCTGCAGAACCACAGAAAAATTCTGGGTATGGGAGAACATGTGATCTCCTCCAATGTCTAGTGGGGCCAGCACTGTTACATGATCAAGGGCATGATGTCTTTATTCCTTTTGAGTCCCAATGAGAGTCAACATAAGATATTTTGCCCCAAAAACAGTAATGTGACCGTGTCTCCTTAAAGCAGTGGTTCTTAACCTTTTTGGAGGTACTGAACCCCACCAGTTTCATATGCGCATTCACCGAACCCTTCTTAATTGGAAAAATAAAATATGATTTTTAAAATTCAAAACATAGGTATATATTTATACATAGGTGCACAAAATGATAAAACCATTAAGAACAAAGAACAAAACCATTAAAACATGATTTTCACACAAAAACAAAATAATGAATATTTACCGCAAATCAGTGTGACTTCTGCTGTTGTCTTTCAGAGGCCAGTTCAGAAATGCACGGCATTACCTTGGCAAGTGCCACTCTCATGTCATTTTCGCAACAAAGTCTGTTCCTTTTCTTCGTCTTTATGTCCAGCATCCTCGAAAAGGATTGCTCGCAAAGATATGTTGTAACAAACGGTATGAAAATTCATCCCCCATAGTAATTCATCCCCCATATAGTAATTCATCCCCCATATAGTAATTCATCCCCCATAGTAATTCATCCCCCATATAGTAATTCATCCCCCATATAGTAATTCATCCCCCATAGTAATTCATCCCCCATATAGTAATTCATCCCTCATATAGTAATTCATCCCCCATAGTAATTCATCCCCCATATAGTAATTCATCCCCCATATAGTAATTCATCCCCCATATAGTAATTCATCCCCCATATAGTAATTCATCCCCCCTATAGTAATTCATCCCCCATATAGTAATTCCTTCCCCCATATAGTAATTCATCCCCCATATAGTAATTCATCCCCCATAGTAATACATCCCCCATATAGTAATTCATCCCCCATATAGTAATACATCCCCCATATAGTAATTCATCCCCCATATAGTAATTCATCCCCCATATAGTAATTCATCCCCCATAGTAATACATCCCCCATATAGTAATTCATCCCCCATATAGTAATACATCCCCCCATATAGTAATACATCCCCCATATAGTAATTCATCCCCCATATAATAATTCATCCCCCATATAGTAATTCATCCCCCCTATAGTAATTCATTCCCCATATTAATTCATCCCCCATATTAAGTCCCCAAGTCCCCCCTGTGTCAATTCACTTACCTTTGCTCCGCGTGTTCCTCTCGCTGTATTCCCGCGCCGTTCCGGTCATCAGGGCGGACTGTGAGAGGAGCCTAGCTCCTCTCACGTTCGTCACGCTGCCCCGCCTACACACATCCTGACAGCCAATCACTGGCTATCAGGATGTGAGTGGCAGCGAGACTGGCCAATCATTGCATTTGAGTCCCTGCCGCCCGAGAGGAGGGAGGGGAGCGGGCGCCCGGCACACAAGAGCCGCGGCTTGCCGACCACTGGGCATGTCATCACAAATCATATGAGTCGGGTGTGGGTCACCTCCGCCGAACCCCCGAGACTGACTCACCGAACCCCTGGGGTTCGATCGAACCCAGGTTAAGAACCACTGCCTTAAAGTGTATACAAAACCCAAACTTTTTCTCCCATACCCAGAATTTTGCTGTGGTTCTGCAGAAGAAGAAAGGCTTGCTGGATGTCTCTTTAAAATGAACCTACCACCAGGATCAATCCAAAAACTGCTAGGGGCTCATGTACACGAGCTTAAAATGTGTGGAAGGGTTAGATCTGCTGTTGGGTTTTTATTGATGTCTGTGTCCAAACTGGTGAGGTACATCATCATCTATTGGTCCCGGTGAACGGTGGTCATAGAACAGAAAGTAATGGGAAAACCAGCATTTTAGCTGTCGCAAGAACAGGAAGTGAGAAGAAAGCTTCTGACAGAGAACCTTGATGACAACTGTCTATGAGGGGATATCCCCTTGATTTGGAGAGATCTCTTCTTGCTTCCTGCTGTGTTTTAAGGACAGAAAATGAAGGGAAATCTTCCAAACAGCACATAGACAGCAAAAAAAAAAGGCATCAGGAATCTTAAAGTGAAAGTCTTAAATTGGTTTAACTCCAACTTTTTATTGGGCCCTTTTTTTTTTAACCATAATGTGTTAGTATGTACAGCATATTTGCACATTGTAGCAGAGTTACCTGGCAAGACATCCCTTCAAGCATTGCATTGTCAGTGCTCCTGTCGGTCTTAGGTGCTGTCATCTTCTCCCAGTCTTCCTTCCAGGTTCCAACTCTTTGGCCTCTTGGTCATCTTCTCCCAGTCTTCCTTCCAGGTTTCAACTCTGCAGCCACTTGGTCGAGCAGGTCATGATGATGTCACTTCCATGCATGTGCATGGGAGTCCCATCATCACGGCACAGAGAGTCTCTCTAACATAAAAATCCTACCTGTCATTTTAAATTCATTATAGGTTTAATTCCACTTTAATTTCACTTAATCATACCTTTTTTCTATCCACAACTAAAAAGAAATATTTGGTACCTAAGGACACAACTCTAAAGCTAGATCCACATCTATGTGTTACTGCAGTGTATGTTAATGTGCACTACATGTGTATTGCCATTGATTCAGAATAGCACCCAAGTGCATATACACAGTAAAATACAAACACCTGCACCACAATTCACCACAGACCATATAGTAGATTTAAACGCTCCATCCATTGTGTTGCTCAAAAGTATGTGCCACTTCGTAAATTGAGGCTTATTAATGGTCAACGCACAAATAGGTGTGTGAAATGTCCCTTAATATTTAATATATACAAAAACAATCACTAGAACCCCATGTAAGTTTTAACATGTTAACTTTAATTTCAAAAGTCATTTTCTGGTGTACTCAAGTTAACGTGTTTTATCAAATTATTGACTTATTTAAGACCTTTGAAGTCAATTATTGAAGTCAATAATTTAGCTAAACAAACCAAGTTGCATCATAACTGAAAGATCTGTTTGTTAAAGAGTATATTGCTGTGTGCACTTCCTGTGTGCACATGAGTGGAACAGATTTTATAATTTTTGATGTTATTTTCTTAAAAGAATACATGCTCTATAAAGTTTATTTTGCGTTTTTTATTAGAATTGTTTTATGAAATATTTATTTATATATATATATACTTATATACAGTTGTGACCAAAATTATTCAACCCCCACTGAAATTGAGTGTTTTGGCCAGTT